ATGTGTATATTCAAATTTTGGCGATAATGAAATTTACTAATATCATACTTTGTTCTAGTTATCCTTCTTTATCCCTAGTTATCTCTAATAGTAAAATAACGATGATGTATTAAATTTTACTTTTTCAATACTATAAGAAATTCTATTTATTTTTAAATTATTATATATAATTTTAAATATTATTAAATATAATTCTATTTATTTTTAAATTTTCTTAGTTTTAATTTTTTTATTCTTAAAAGTATAAAGTTTGTATAAATCAATTGTGTTTTTATTATATATGATTTTATGGAAGTACACAGACCATCTAAAAAAAAAAAGCTTGATATTGCGATGATTAATTTTCTATTCGAGCATATGCTCGAAAAAGATCGGAAAAATTATCAAGAAATGGAGAAAGAAAGAAAGCTTTTCCGCTTTGTAAGAAAATTCGCGTCTATCCTAACATGTTTACTTATTATCAATTGTCACGTTGTTTCATCAGATTTGTCGTTATTTCACGATAAACGTGCTACTAAACGTGTTGAGTAGATGATTCAAATTCAACATTGTCAATATTCTGATGAAAACGGCTTGAACGATATCGATTCGGAGACCTATTTTAAAATTATCGTATGCTTCATAAGTTCTACGTATTAGAATACACCTATTGTAGTATCGTGACTTTGATTTTTCAGAGTACGCAATTAAAACAATGAAATCACGATTCCAATATAATTCTTTAATCAGTTTGTAATGGGTTATTTTACATTATTGTAGTTTATGAGATATAGAGACATGGAAGTTAAATAGTTTCATGTTTATTTTTAATTTTTGTTGTATCAATGAATGCTCATATGCATTAATAAAAGTTTATTCTTTTGGCCTATGAATATATAACAAGAAATGTTAATTTATTATATGTTTATTTATAATGCTATAAATATTTTAAACATCGTTGAATTATATATCGTATAATAAATTTTAGAATAAATGAAAGAAGACAAAGACAGCAAGGACAGAAATGATAAAAATGATTTTATATTCTTTTTTCAATGTCGAAAAAAAAAAAAAAAAACAAAATTCAACGATGTCATTTTTATTCAATGATCTTTTCGTAGAATCATACGAAAAGTACATTTGAATGATATTAAATTGACTGAAAAGGAAACGTGGGAAATAAA